TCTAAATATGTATAAGGTTTTATGTGATGAATTACCTATCAAATGAAAATTCTTCAAGTCTAGTTTCCAACGCTTCAAACCGTTCATCATTTGGACATTCCTACACAATGTTACGATCAAATTACCAAAGGCTGGAAAATGCGATCCCATGTCAAATCTGCGACCGCAAAACCAGTTGCATTTCTGACTTTGCGGTCGCATTTCTGTCGCAGACTGGGCCAGAGTAGCCCTGTTTTGGGCGCCGATTTTGCGGTGCATTATGCGGCCAGCATTCTTGTTTGCGGTCCGTTCTGCTATAGCAGACCCGACATCGGAGGGTTAATTTTCTAATTTTTATAACCCGGCCCCATTTCAATATATAGGCTTTGGGGTTCATTTTGGGGTCATTTCTTACTGGTTTTAGAGAGAGAAAGGAGAGGTCTAGCTTCATAATCATTCAAATCTTGCATCAACCTTCAAGAATCAAAGAGGCCATTCATAAGTTCTTCATCCAAGAGGCAAGATTCTATACATTAGGCTTTAATTTCGAGTTTGGGGTATGAGATGGGGTATTGAGGTATGATTCTTGGGTGTAATACTAGTATGTATACATGCATGTACAAATTAGGTTTGTGGGAAGGTTGTTTAGCATAATTAAGTAAAGATTTGGTTGGGGAATGAAGGAAAACTTTGGAAAAGAGATTTGAAACTAAGATACTCAACTAGCATTTGATAAAATGCTCAAATGAGCTGAAACCATGAATACCTTTCTAATTTGTCTTCAATTTTATTATGTCTCATAGTGGATTGGAATTGCTAGAATTTCCGAAACGTTGTAGTAACTTAAGGAAAGCTTAAACGAGGTATGTATGGCTAACTTTGACCTTTATAAAATCACCTTGTTTGGTGTACAAATATTTGGTATGTGATATCTACGTGGATTATTTGTGAAACTAAATTCTTGTGATTGGTATGTGTTTACTTATGCGGAATATTTGTGAATTCATGTGATTAATGTGCCTTGAACGTTGTTGGTTAAGTATTCCGATATGATAGTGCAAGTAAATGGCAACAAACCAAATGTGTTTGTGTGAATGTGGTTGTGTGGTAAGAGCTGTGTAACAAATGAAGGAAAGGAATCGTAATTGATGCAATTGAAGCAACTGTGGTAATATCATATGTGGCTTATCGTGGGCAATTATCGTTGTGACTTAAATAGTACATCGGGCTGTTGAATAAGATGGAAATGGCATTGATGGTTATGGAAATACTTTGTGAATTGTGCTGCTATTCCTTGAGAATTATTGTTGTTGTCCTTGAGATTCGTTGTTGCTGTTCTTGAGAATTGTTGTCGTTGTCCTTGTGAATTGTTGTTGTTGTTGTGTTGCTTGTGAATTGTGATTGTTCGGTTGGATCGGGTTGCGCGCTGCAACACGAAGTAATAAGGTGTGGGTTGTGGTGATAAGGGTGGCCGAGGTAATAAGGGTGGCCGAGGTAATAAGGGTGGAAAGTGATCAAAATCACTATTGAAATGAAAATATGAGAAAGTTGTGAAATCATTGATGTGAAAATGTTGAAAGGGGAAATGGAGAGATTGTAAACTTGTTTGGCTTGGTTGTTTCCTTTCATGTGTATTTGATTGTTGATTCCATTACTACTTGTTACTTGTGTATGGTTTCAGTTTGCTTAGGGCAAAGTTTGTTCATACATACCAGTACAATTCAAATGTACTGACGTCCCTTTTGCCGGGGGCGCTACATTCGTGTTATGATTGTAGGTGGATCCATAGCAGGTACTCCAGTCCACCGACGGTAGCTCCCTTTTCACTTTCCGTCAGCTGTATTGGTGAGCCCCTTTCCTCTCGGGGCCCTGCGTGGCTCATGCCGCTTTTATTCCGGAGTCATGTTTTGGGTAATTGTGTAAGGTATAGCCGGAACCTTGCTACCGGCAAGTATTGTATTATCCTTTGTATCCTTAGAGGCTCCGTAGACAGTAAATGTGGGTTATGAACTTATGTAAATATGTATTTTGCATGTTGGGGGATGTAAGTTGTAAACCTCATTAAGTAGCCATGTATGTTATGTAAGTTTTGTAAAAAGGTGTTTTAATTATAAATGGCTAATTCCTTGATTAATGAGCAATGAAAATACGGGGTAACACGTGGGATAGGAAAGGCACCCAGGTCCGCCTTACTGGGGCTACCCGGTCGGGCGCCGGTCATGTCCCTCGGTTTGGGGCGTGACAAACTTGGTATCAGGCCTAAGGTTTTAAAGTGTCCTAGGATCTCTCGGAGCCGTGTCTAGTAGAGTCCTTCTTATCGGTGTGTTGTCGACCACATCTATAAGTTGGAGGCTATTCGGACATTTAGGAATTTCACCCTTCTTTGATACTCCAATCGTGCGATAGAACTCAAGTTAGGGAGCTGATTCCCTCTCTAAGTCTTATTCTCAAGATTGGTAACCTTGATACCATAATCCGCAAATCTGAAGCATGTAAGGAGGGATTGATTCCACCATTGAGTCCGAGTGGATAGCCCAAGGACTTGTTAGGAGAATGTATTGAGTTGTGGATCGATTGGTAAAACATATCGCTAAGAAGGGAGTGTTCTAATTTTTATAACCCGGCCCCATTTCAATATATAGGCTTTGGGGTTCATTTTGGGGTCATTTCTTACTGATTTTAGAGAGAGATGAGAGCATATAGAGAGAGAAAGGAGAGGTCTAGCTTCATAATCATCCAAATCTTGCATCAACCTTCAAGAATCAAAGAGCCCATTCATAAGTTCTTCATCCAAGAGGTAAGATTCTATACATTAGGCTTTAATTTCGAGTTTGGGGTATGAGATGGGGTATTGAGGTATGATTCTTGGGTGTAATACTATTATGTATACATGCATGTACAAATTAGGTTTGTGGGAAGGTTGTTTAGCATAATTAAGTAAAGATTTTGTTGGGGAATGAAGGAAAACTTTGGAAAAGAGATTTGAAACTAAGATGCTCTACTAGTATTTGATTAAATGCTCAAATGAGCTGAAACCATGAATACCTTTCTAATTTGTGTTCAATTTTGTTATGTCTCATAGTAGATTGGAATTGCTAGAATTTCCGGAACGTTGTAGTAACTTAAGGAAAGCGTAAACGAGGTATGTATGGCTAACTTTGACCTTTGTAAAATCACCTTGTTTGGTGTACAAATATTTGGTATGTGATATCTACGTGGATTATTTGTGAAACTAAATTCTTGTGATTGGTATGTGTTTACTTATGCGGAATATTTGTGAATTCATGTGATTAATGTGCCTTGAACGTTATTGGTTAAGTCTTCCGATATGATAGTGCAAGTAAACGGCAACAAACCAAATGTGGTTGTGTGGTAAGAGCTGTGTAACAAATGATGGAAAAGAATCATAATTGATGTTGGGCGATGTAAGTTGGGTTACGAACTTATGTAAATATGGGTTACGAACTTATGTAAATATGTATTTTGTATGTTGGGCGATGTAAGTTGTAAACCTCATTAAGTAGCCATGTATGTTATGTAAGTTTTGTAAAAAGGTGTTTTAATAATAAATGGCTAATTTCTTGATTAATGAGCAATGAAAATACGGGGTAACACGTGGGATTGGAAAGGCACCCAGGTCTGCTTGACTGGGGCTACCCGGTCGGGCGCCGCTCATGTCCCTCGGTTAGGGGCGTGACACTTCTAATACCTCTAACGGATGTGGGAGAGGGTAATCCTGCTATAAGATTAATTTTAGCCTTATCAACTTCTATTCCTTTAGCAGTGATTTTATGTCCTAAAACAATTCCCCCTATTACCATAAAGTGACACTTTTCCCAGTTAAGAACAAGATTTGTCTCTTCGCATCTTTTAAGCACCAATGTTAAATGATAGAGACAATCATCAAATGTCTTACCAAAAAGTGTGAAATCATCTATGAAAATTTCAAGAAACCTTTCAGTCATATCTGAGAAAATTGCCGACATGCAACGCTGAAATGTAGCAGGAGCGTTACATAGTCCAAATGGCATTCTTCTGTAAGCATACGTACCTTGGGGGCATGTGAATGTGGTTTTCTCCCGATCTTCGGGAGCAATTGGTATCTGATTATACCCAGAATATCCGTCAAGAAAACAATAAAAACTATGCCCTGCAATTCTTTCAAGCATTTGGTCAATAATAGGCAAAGGAAAATGATCTTTCCTTGTGGCATCATTGAGTCGTCTGTAATCAATACAGACTCTCCATCCTGTGACTGTTCTTGTAGGTATAAGTTCATTATTATCATTTTTAATTACGGTCATACCTCCTTTATTTGGTACTACCTGTACAGGACTTACCCAAGGGCTATCAGATATTAGATAAATGATACCTGCCACTAGAAGTTCCACTACTTCTTTCTTGACAACTTCTTGCATTGCCGGATTAAGTCTCCTTTGGGGTTAGACTATTGGTTTGTAATTATCCTCCATAAGGATCCTATGCGTGCAAATAGCTGGACTGATTCCTTTGATGTTAGCTATAGTCCACCCTAAAGCTCCTTTATGTTTCCTCAAGACTTCTATCAGTTTGTATTCCTGTTCTGGAGTCAAAGAAGATGAAATGATTACGGAAAATAATTCAGGTTCAAGAAAAATAATTTTTAAATGAGAAGGAAGATTTTTGAGTTCAATTTTTGATTGAACTTCTTCTTGTGAGACTTTCTCATTTTCTGATTCTTTTTCCAATATTTCCTCTTCTTCTCTGATTGTGGCATTTTCATCACTTGTGGTACCTGACCTGACTAAACATCTTTCCAATGAATCAGTAATTAACTAATTATCTTTGTATTTGTCTACAAGGTCATCTAGTAAGTCAATTTGAAAACAAGATGCTGATGACTCATCCCCAGGATATTTCATCATTTTCTGCATGTCAAAAATTACTCTTTCCTCATCAACTCACAAAATTAGTTGTCCTTGATGAACATCAATAATTGCTCTCCCTGTTGCGAGAAATGGTCTCCCTAAAATTAATGATACCTCAGTATTTTCTTCCATTTCAAGCACTATAAAATCTACTGGGAATACAAATTTGTCAACTCTGATAAGGATATTTTCAATAATTCCTTTTGGTTTCTTAGGACTTTGATCATCTAATTGAAGAGACACACCAGTATCTTTCATTTCACCAAGTTCTAATTTCATGAAAATTGAAAAAGGCATTAGATTTATTGAAGCACCCGAATCACATAATGCCTTTTCAAAGTGAGCACCTCCCACAGTACAAGGAATTGTAAAACTCCCTGGATCGCCAAGTTTCTGTGGAAGCTTATTTTGAAGCATAGCACTACATTTCTCTGTAAGCTTAACAACTGAAACTTCTTCCAATTTTCTTTTACTTGACAAAATTTCTTTGAGAAATTTAGCATATGAAGGCATTTGTGTCAAAGCTTCTGTGAAAGGTATGTTAATGTACAGTTGCTTTAAAATATCCAGAAACTATGAAAACTGTTTGTCAAGATTTTCTCTTTTCATCTTTTGGGGAAAAGGGAGGGGTACAGAGTGAGGATTTGTCATTAATTCATTTTCTTGTACCTTTTTTCCTTTATCTTTTTGTTCTTTTAGAAGTTCAGAGTCTCTTTTATTCTCACTTTCATTTACCTGTTCCACTTCTTGTGGTTTTCCTTGTCTATCTGCATATGGATCATCAAGAGTTTTACCTGACCGCAGAGAGATGGCTTTGAGGTGTTCCTTTGGATTTTTCTCGGTGTTGCTTGGTAGAGCACCTTTTATTTGTTCAGACATGAGGGTTGCTAATTGGCTCATCTGAATTTCTAAATTCTTGATGGCTGAACTTTGACTTTCAACCTTCTCATCAGTAGCCTTAATGAATTTGTACATCATGTCTTCGAGGCTTTGCTGATGAGCTCTTTGGGGTGGTTGTTGATATTTCTGGAAATCATGTTGCCCTCTGTTTTGATTTTGAAAACCAGGTGGTCCCTGTACCTGCTGCTTTTGATTAAAAAATCATTGAGGATTTTCAGCACCATTAGGATTACTCCATTGAAATCCTGGATGTTTTTGTGCCATGGGACTACCAAATGAGTAATTATTTCTATAACCAATCATATTTACCTGTTCTTCATTTTGCGCTGAAGCTTGACATTCATGATTCGGATGATTACCTTCACAAACATCACAATTCTCAAGTTGGGATGATGAGTGAGCACCTACCTGAAAAGCCTCCACTTTTTGTGTTAAAGTCGCAATTTGTTGTGTCAATGAATTCAAAGCTTCAATTTGATTTACTCCTGCCGTTTTTTTTATAATCATTCTGTCTGAGGGCCATTGAACAGCATTTTCCGAAATTTCATTAAGCAATTGCATTGCTTGTGTAGTAGTTTTTCCCATTATTGATCCTCCTGATGCTGCATCAATTACATTTCTAGCAGAGGGTTTAAGACCGTGATAGAAAACATATAAAATATCAGGGTCTTGGATACCATGATGTGGGCATTTTCTTAACATTGCTGCTAATCTTTCCCATGCCTGGTATACAGATTCAGAATCTGTCTGCATAAAATTATTGATTTCTTGCTTCATTTTAAATGTTTTTGCAGGTGAAAAATATTTATTAAGAAACTTTTGGGTCATTCGGTCCCATGTTGTAATGGAACCTCTTGGTAGACTTCGCAACCATGTTTTGGCTTCACCTTTTAATGAAAAAGGAAAAAGCCGCAACCTGATAGCATCTGTTGTGACTCCATTATACCTGCAAGTTTCAACTAATTCAAGAAAATCAATTAAATGGGTGTGAGGATCTTCACTCGCATCACCAGTAAACTGACATGACTGTTGAATGGTTTGAATCAAGCCTGTGCGGATTTCAAAGTTGTTTGCTGCAATTGGTGGTCTCCTCACACTTGATTCTCCTTCAAAATGATCTGGCCTTGCATAATCACGGAGTATTCTATCACGTCGTGGTGCCACCTCATCAAACTGTTCTTCTACTTGATGTGGTGGAAGTTGGTTATTGAGTTCTTCGTTCTCCATTTCCTCTATTGTGAAAAATTGAGACTGTGAGTTTTTTTTCCGCAACAACCGTAAGGATTTTTCAATTTCAGGATCGTATTCGACTAGTTCTCTAGAAGAGGAACGGGTCAGACACTTTCTGAAATTTCTGCAGAAAAGTTAAAATAATTAGACAATAAAAAAAATCTCAAATTAGTAGTAAAACAATTAATCTGTAGTAGACTTTAGCCAATCCCCGACAACGGCGCCAAAAATTTGACGAGTGCCTGGCGTGTGTATAAATTAAACTCGTACTCTGTCAAATTATAGTATAGAAAGATGTCGAACCCACAGAGATTGTTTCATCTATTCTACAGATGCTTCTTGTTTTAATTACTATTTGAGAAAATCAGAAAGAGTTGAGTTGTAAATTAACTAACTAAAAATGCATAAATAGAGCAGTAGAAAATATTTTGTTGTTCACAAATATAATAAAAGGTAGTTGGGTATCTTGACTTCACTTAATATTTCTATTATATAGTAGAATTATTATTCTTCAATTTCAATTTCTCAAAAAGGTATAAATCATTTATAGTATTATTACTATAGTCGAACAATTAAATGCACTCGCTCTGCATGTGCTCCTCTCGGTTATACAATTAATCGTTAAAATTGTAATATTAAAGAACTAGAAATATATACTTGAACTAAAGCATGCTCTTTTTTAGTAAGTCCCTTTCGGTTACTCTACTTGTTATAACTGATTACTACAACATTCGCCTCTTTCGATTACAAATAAGTGTAGAATCAATTTTAACATATATGAGCTAGATGTCACTAAATATAGGTTAACATCTATCAATACCAAAATTAAGTATTACTTCTTCTGCCTCTTTCGATTACAGAATCAGTAAGAAGTTAATATATAGTACGAAATAGATAGATGTTAACAAATTAAATAACACCCAACTATAAAGCAAATAAAATTTAAATAAAAAGCTTCAGCTCAAGCATGTGAAATTGAAGAATAATATCTACTATTATATAAAAATATTAAGATCCGTCATTTTTCCAACACGAGAAAAGTTACTCCATACTGGAGCTAGTATTGCTAATAAAAATATTCTTGTCCATTAGATAAGAAAATAGTAAGAAATATTCAGAAAGAATAATTCCCCCAATTTAATTAAAAGCAGGATATAGAGTAATTTTCAAAGCTAAAATTTATTAGGAACTAGAAACAAAAGCCACTGTAATGACTGGGCAGAAATTTAAAGAACTGAACAACTAACTGAAATGAAAAGGAAAAGCTCTGAAATGGATTCAGTTATCTGCTGAGCTCTCCTTCTCTCGATGCCCCTCTCCGAATTTCTGAGACATCCATTTTATAACCACTCCATAACTAGTTATGCTTTGGTTATGAGTTTTGTTATGGGTTGATTATGGATCTTGGTTATGGATCAGTTATGGGTCTGTTATGAAAGTTCCTTTGTATATTGTCTTCTTTGTGCCTGGTTTATTTACTCCATCACAGCTTACTTTTCTCCTTTGGTGCGCTATTTCTTAAAATCTTCCTTGATTCTGCATCACTTGCTTTGCAATCTTTCCTACATAATTTACTAAAAGTTAGGGAAGAATATGATAATTTCTTTATTTTACAGAGAAAATTATATATTAAAAATCAAGTAAAATATACTTATCACATCTTCACCTCGAAATTTGACTCATAAGTATCACGCATTATTCACAACTCACCCACTTACTCTAACATAGAGGTCACTGACATTACCTTTCCTTCATGAATCAAGTGCCCTCACACAACAAAAGAGAGTAGTTCCACACACAATAAAGTTTAAGAACAATTAGGAACTCAAGATAGAAAGAATTCACTCACTCTCAAAAATAACATTCATATGCTACAAAAGATGCACCATAGGCTTGCCCGTAGTGTAATACTCTACTAATTGAGCTCATTCAGTCTAGGATCAAGTAGGACTTTATTTGGTTGTAATGTAGGCTGCGGGACGGGTAGGATACATTTTGATATAAGAGTGACTACACCTCCCTAAGCACTTTAATACATATACTTTAACATTCAAGCCCCATACTTATGTCAAACCAAACTCCACCTTCACCTCAATGTATATTACCCCATACTTCTTTAAGCACAATTACATCAAGAGTCACCACTTATCAAGGAATATTTTTTTTCACATCAATACAACTTTTTTTTTCCAATTCAAGTGGCTCTTACTTTTTTTTTCAAAAGAGTGCACCTTTCTCCTTATTTCATTAGTTCCACTCAAAAGCCAAACCAACCACCCCACACTTTAGCTTTTACACAGTTCATAATAATTCAAGTGCTCATGAGAGGTTAAAAGGTTCAAATAGATGATTAATTCAAACAAATGGGTAAGGCTTGTAATGTGGTTGCCAAAGAAACAAGATTACAGGCTCAAAGGGGTTAACTACGATACATAACAATTAGGTGGGTAAAATATACATATCTGGCTCAACAAAGAAACGCCTATATCACTTCCAAGACTGAACAAAACTACTATTTCGCTTTGCAAACACACAGGGCAAGTTGTAGGCATCAAATGCAATGCACAGAATATAACAAATCCTTACACACACATGGCACATAACTCACTCGGGATTGGTTTCATCAAGACACTCTAGTCAAAGCAGTTAAGCAAAGTTAAGATCATAAAATTTAAGGTACTTAACAAGAGTCAAAAACTGAGTCTAAGCGTCACAACCAAAGTACTCACTATTCTCAAGGCATAACAAAGTCAAGAGATATTGCTTCAATTCAAAACACAACACAATGGCTCCTATTCCTAAAAAAACTAACTACAGCCGGTTCAAATAAAACCCTTGGAAAAGAACCGCGGCACAAAGAAAAACCAAGGGGTAATTGCTACACTACCTAACAACAGAAAATCTTTTTTTTTTTTACTTAAATCCCTCAAGAAAATTGTCTAATAGATCCATCGTCGGAAAAGTCCAATCTTTTCTATTTTAAAAACAAATTATTCAATTAAACTAACACAACTAAAATAGCATAGAAAATCACTCAGATAATCTCCTCACTCCACACTTAAAATTGTGCATTGTCCCTAATGCACACCAGAACTAATAAAAGGGTAAAAGAGACTCCCTGGTAGGCCAAAGGCCGAAGCACTAACAACTCATGGGGTACTCAAACTTCTCCCAAGCTTGGTCCTTCGTGTAGGTACCTCACACTTAGTTCCAACCATTTGGTTTGCTGTTGCATCCTTCCAATACTTTTGCTTTCCATGCTCCTAAAAAATAAAAAATTGACACTACAAAAATAATACAATTAAAAAAATAAAAAATAAATAAAAGAAAGCAATAAAGCTGGGTTGCCTCCCAACAAGCGCTTGATTTAACGTCGCGGCACGACGCGAATCACATTTTGCCTCCGCGTCGAGCTTATGAATTGAACCCCAAGTTTTGCTTCAAGCTTATGATTATGCTCTTGGGGCGGTACAAATTCTTGCGAGCCAAAAATTAGATAAAATCTTATGCACTTTTTGGCTCTCGACCGAGGAGTGTCACCTTGCCTAGATGGCCTTGAGAAATCCAAAATATAAGGCTCATCTACCTCTTCCTTGGACTCCTTTTTATGCTCATAAGGGTGAATTTCCATTTCACCGTCTGAACATAATGTAGAGAAGTGTTTGGAATGAGGTCCAACGCGCTCAAATACATGAACTTCAAGATTTTTAACCTCCTCAACATCAATCACACTAGAGTCAACTAAATTTGTATCTTCAACGTCCTTGGTTGACTCTAGTATTACATCTTCAACATCGACATCCTCAAATTCTAGTTGGTTAGGCTGTTGGTTTTCTACTCTGACCTCCTCCATTTGCACCTCAATTTCAGCATATAATTCATGCTCTTCTTGGCTACTATCCACAATATTGGCTTGTTGAGCATTAAATACCTCAACTAGTTGACTCACTTGTGCCTCCAGGTTGCGAATAGCAGCATCTTGCCTTTGTATGTGCAGTTGTTTCTCATCATTTTGTTCCACAAGGCACCTTAGCATATCCTTGATCTCTTTCAAGTCATCATCCCTGGGTTCTTTGTTCCTATTAACTTCACAAGAAAATGAAGAACCATCAAAGTAAGGGGTTGAGGAAAGATAAGAAATATAAGCACAACCATGAAAGTGACCATCTAGTCCACCACACATATCACATACATTCCACACATAAGATTGAGTTGGTGCACATTCGGGAATATTTTGATAATTTTGCCATGGGTGGTTTTCTTCACAATATGCATAAGGAGGATTAAAAGCAGAATTATCAACATCAAAATTTCCATAATTCCAGGATGCCATGTTTCTCAATTAACAAGTAAAACAAAAATAAAAAAAAATCAAATACAACAAAACAAAAATAAAAGTTCAAACTTGTAACCTAGCAATGTGTACACCTACAGCTACACCGTTAGTTCCCCGGCAACGGCGCCAAAATTTGATCACGCCCAACTCTAGTCCTAGAAAGGATAAGCGGTCGCTGTAAATATAATCCGATCTAAAAGTCCAGAGTCGAATCCCACAGAGAACTAAGGTTTCGCTGTAATTGTTCAATATCGCAAAGAAGACAAGTTTGAACAATTTCTAAATTATAATATTAAGATTTTTATATCTAACTAATTAACCAACAAATACTATAAAACGGTAAAATTATCAACTAACGAGACAAAGGTTTGGAGACTAAATTAAGGATGTCTAGAGTTATGATTTCCCCAATTGTTGATTTCATTAGTTGCATGTTTCTTATAGCTTTGACTTAGTTGCCTCTATCAATCATGAACTCTCTAGATATCATAAATCTCTCTCAAGCAATTATGATAATTTACTAGACGCACTCTCTCAAGCTACGCTAGCTAGATTCACATTAGTTCACTTAGATCGCACCCACCTATCGTTGTCTCTAATCCAACCTCTAAACCCTCGGTTATGACTCTCGCCTATACTCCCGGAGTGATGTTGTTCAAAC